TAGTAAGGAATTATAAGCCAAATAAAATAAAAACATCTGCCCTGAAGATAAGGATAGTGTTGACAGATCAACTTCGAATTCATTGCACGCCGCGCCGTTCCCCACCAGGCAGAGCAGCGTGAAATTGATAAACAGATTTCGGAATGGTTAGATAAACAAAGGATATGCCTTTATCCATTTTTTGCAGCAATCCCACTTTTTGTTTAATGGACTTCGAAACATACTTTCGCTTTGTATATCCTTTACATATTAGTAAATTTATATCAGAAATTTTATTTGACATAATCGAAAGTTCAAGCTTACTTTTATAAAATTGCTCTAACAGTCTGCAAAAAATAATAAGCCGGATCCAAATTGAAGATTAAGGAACAACGCAATCTGCAACATTAACTGAATTAGATAATTTTAGCTTAGCTTATACCGTCCGTTATAAATTAAACGCACATTCGAAACGTATTTTGCGCATTCGTAAACGTATTTTGCGCATGCGCACACGCATATTTGCAGCCGTAAAGGTCTTACGTGCATGCGTCAACGAGACGCATGCGCAGAAAGTTTGTAGCTTTGAGGTCCGGATTATGGGTGTCCGAATTATCGACTTTTGACTGTAATCTCCTACAACAAGAGAGTAGTTTTTGGTGCGTTGAGATGAGAATTTTTTAACTGCTTGGTTAAATAATGTTGGTTGAAAAGCCAATGTCAATAGCAAATGCTTTTAAATAGTTTAGTTCTTGATCAACAGCCAAGTTGGAGGAGCAAACCTAAAGTGCAAGGAAAACAAAGGAATAAAATGAAGCTACCTTCTGTTTAGTTGAATGACATGATTTGAAATGTGGAGAAAGGCAAACCGATGAAGGTTTACGGTAAACAGTAGTATTGAAATTGGATGTGTTACGTGTGACCAAAATGTTGAGGAATGGAAGAGAATTGCATGTCTCAAGTTTAAAAGTGAACTGAATAGTAGGATCAATGGAATTCATTATTGAAATAAACTTTATTTGAATCATCTTTACTACTGTTAAGCAGGCTAAAAGTATAAATCTAGCCATTTATTATTAACCTAAACTATATTTATATCGAAAACAATGGACAAAGCAAAATCAATGCAAATGTAACACACTACCTGCTAAAAAAACAATAAAGTAAGATATTAGAATTCTAAAAGCATTAGGAAAGACTGGATTGGAATTAATGCCATTAGTTAAAGACGATAAATTGGTGAATCTTTACATTATGGTAACTTGGTGATTTTTTGGCGAAAATGTGGCGACAACCCTGATACAGCAACCTGCTAGTTTTGTTTTGGACGCCATTTTGTTTTCACGAAGTACAGACATGTTTTTTTTTTTACTCAACATTTTTTCCAACAATCTGCTAGCTGAATTACGCTTATACTAGAACTTTTATGGAACACAGATGCTTAATCATGACGAAGATTAGGTGCGAAATTGGGAGAAAGTGCACAATCGCAAACTGCTTGTCACATTTTTAAGAATTGCACATACACATTATCCATGTACACGTCGACCTAGTTTCACTTAAAAAAACATCCCAAAATTGTACAAAAATGGCATTGTGCACACTCTTGACTTTATCCATGTACACATCGACCTATTTTCACTTAAAAAGTCAAAGAAAATTGACAAAAATCCAATTCTTCTTACTCTCTTGTAAAAAGTGCCAAACAAATAAGTGGGCGATTCTGCACTTTAGCAGCAAAATTGTTTCTAAGTGCTTATTAGCTAAAATCACGATCGGAATTTTCCGGAAAATGTTACATTACACGTCTCATGATCTCTCATTTCTCTGAGACAAAATAATCTCTGATTCGAACTGTGTACTTCTCAGATTATTGCTTGGTTAGAAGTCCTAGCTAGTAACCTTTATCGCCTTACCAAAATGTCACCAAACTACCTGTTACCATATTCTAAAGATTAGCTGATAAATTTTGGGAAATATGAAAAGTTTTAAAGCAATCCAATTCACTAAATGAAAGAACTTTATTAAGAGTTTTTACAGAATCAAAGACAAACTTGTGATAAGTTTCAATTATTATTAGCTATTGAAGATTTAGTACTGAAATGCAGTAAAGTAAGATAGAATTCTAAAAGCATTATGAAAGACTGGATTGGAATAAATACCATTTGTTAAAGAAGATAAATTTTTGATAATATGAAAAGCTTTAAGCTAATCTAATTCATTAAATGAAGGAGCTTTATTGAGAATTTTCACAGAACCAAAGACAAAACTGCCATAAGTTTCCAATTATAACCAGATATCAAAGATTTGTTTATTTCTCCATTTTGGGATACAAGATTCCCATTCCCTGATGTGAAATTTTAATGCTCTTTTAGCTTGGTCAACATACCTCAAACTACTACAGTGACACGATAGTGTTATAAATTCCGCAAGAATTAAAGTCAGAGATGGAATCTGTATGAATCAAACAATGAATTCTATTTATAGGTGAGAAACTGGTAAAGGGGAATGCCAACAAGGTTATTTATATTATTTCTAACACTGGAATGTTTTATTTAATGGAAAGATGAAAAGCAATCTTTATATATTTGTGCATGTGTGTGTATACATATACTGGTTAAAATTCCATAATCGGAGTGAGCGCCAAGCTTGGCGAGAGTTTTTTATTTGGCTGTGGTTTCCTGCTGTATGTTTTCTTGTGGCAAACCTAGAGCTTTATTTCGGTAACTGTAAGAGCGCGAATTTAGTGTAGCCAGATTTTTTAAAAAATTTAATTTAGAAATACTGTGTTTGTTTTTAAAAGTTTTACTGATTAATATTACTGTTATATATATGTTTAATATTATATTATATAAATATTTGCAGAAGGTTAAGCTGTTGTTGGGGGAGAACGTTAGATTTCATATGACATGAAGTTTATAATTTATGAATGTTTTCATTTAATTTTATTTAATTAATTATTATTATTATTATTATTATTTTTTTTTAGTTTTGTTTCTTGCATGTGGCAATCCAAAGATGTGGAATATTTAAAGCTTTGAACAAAAGTTGTTTAGTGTGTTGAATTCCACGACGATAGTAACTTGAATATTTTAGTTAGTTTACGATGCCGAATACGAATAATTTGCTAGTCTGTTTACGTTTAAAACTGACTTTGCAGTGCTCTGATCTGATAAGTGTATACATTTATTTACTTAATAATTATTTACAAGAATTGTTCATTCTACTATTTTATGATGAATTACATATATATAAGACTATGCTTTTACTTGCAAGGCTGCTGGACTTTGTTTTACTTATCTAGTATTTTATCATCTCATTTTACTATTCTGTTTACATAAAATGACGGCGTTTCACTAATGCAAAATTTTATTCTGTTGACGTTTAAAATCAGATTTTAGTGCTTTCATTGCCGCCTAAAAAATTTGCCAAATTTTGAAGGCCAAAATAGTTTGGCGCTAACTTACCCCGCTTATGGAATTTTAGCCCACATAATTACAAAGCAATTAAAAAAACATGATATAATCATGCCTAGTATTTCTGCGTTAAGCCAGCATATCAGCTATGCTTTCTGAGGTTATATTCAAAAGGTATCTTGAATTTTTTAAAATTCAAAATGTAATTATTGCTCCCTTAAAATGTATATAGTTATTTTTCTAGAAATATATTAAAAGCATACTTAATCCTTTTATTAACATCAGCAGGAAAAAATTAACTTTAATATTATAATCCGAATTGTGCACTAGTAACATCTTTTTAGTTAGGACCATTCGTATAGGATGAACATTGGATAAAATTACATCAATTCATAATTCATATAGGATGAACATTGGATAAAAATCATTAATCGTAATTTTAAATAATGTTCACCAAATTTTAATTATTGCAAAATAAATATGAAAATAAAAGTACATAATTTTTAAGAATTCTTTTATAAATTTACCATATTTCAAATCTAGCAAAGAAAGATACTATGTAAAATATAAAAGCATGCATTTAAAACTAAATAAATTAATAAACTGATTCACTTACAGCAATTAAGAGTTCAATAAAATTTCAGAATCACTCAATAAACTGATTTCCACTAAGTAACTAAAATAAAAAATTCAGCATAACTGGAGCTTTCAGAGCTGACCTGCTTGTTTTGGGGGCTGTCTGCATTACTGTACGGCCTAGAACAGATTTCAAGAGCTTTCTATCAATCTCTAATACATATGGATGATCATACTTCAAAATAAACAAGAGGCCTGTGGGATACCGCAGAAAGCCAAATCCTAACAGAATTCAGATCAGCAGCTAAGGACAAGAGAAGTCATACTATTTAGATTTCAGCTAATGAAGTGGATAAATTCTCTATGAAAAATTCAGTACTGATGAATTGAGATTGATTGTTTATGTTACACAGATCAATCCGTTCATTTATTTATTTTGATATCTAAATTATGTGGGCCAATTAAATCTCCTAAACATTTTATTCTTCAAAAGAGAGCTCAGACCAAAAACATTCTTAAATTAAAAAGAAGTGCAATAAGCAAAAGTTTCATTAAACAAATCGACTTCTTTCTTCAAGTTCGTTCTTAAAATACTTCTAAGATTTACGAAAGCTATGATAAATGACGGCATATGTATTTATTATGAATAAATAAGATACAAAAACTTTCATAAATAAATAATCACATATCATATTACTACCAAAAATCAGCACTGTAGAATTAAGAACTAGCACACAATTAATTTTTATTTCAACCCTTCATCTAATTTTTATGAAATATTCTTATTGATTTTATTTAACAATCCGTCACTTATTATTATGTTTTCATAAAATTTTAATTACTCATTTTTCATTTACGTTTATCATTCCTGACCGGCCTTTCATTTTAGAAATTAAGCACTGATACTATTCCACTCCGCGGAGTTAAAACAGCACAAAATTAACATAGTTGAACATATCTGAAAAGATGTGTACGATTTAAGGATAATTAATGAATATAAAATAGCTAAAACTTATTTAAATTTTACACCTTGAACTCGTCCAAAAACTTCAAAATCCACTGACTGAAGCATTTTCAAAATATTTCGCATTTCACCTTCTCCTGAGCGCACTTCATGAGTTGAGGGTTTACCAGCTGCATTCTCTGATGACAGAAACCAAAATAATAAGAGCAAAATGCTAATACCCGTAAAAAATAAAACACACGCCCGATAACACTTCATTTATGCTTAGAAGGTTCGAACAGGCTGAGTTTAAAAACATGGCAATATTTTCTTTCTTGGATGAAGTCCAAACGAAAGGGTAAAAGATGATAGTTTTGTTTGCGCAGCTGATGATATTATTAGCGTCGCCACCTAAACCTGACTTCCACATAATTTAGTAATGTTAAAACGGTTTCCTTCCTAAAACACTCACAACCATTCTAACCTCCTTGCTTACAATAAATGAGCCAACAACTGAAGTAATTCTACAAGAATTTAACGCTTCAAAACATTGGGAGAGGAAACTTTAGTTAGAGGTCTATTTTGCATTCTCATCAGTAAAGAGGAAAAATAAATGATTCTAAACCCTAATATGCAGAAAAAAATATTTTGGAGTAAGTTTTTTTTTTTTTTTTTTAAAGAGGGTGGTTAGATGTTTTACAACATTGATAAGTGAAATAGAAATTTAAACTGCTTTTGAATACCTTACGAAAATGTTTAAATTATTTAAAATACCCAATATTAAACTTCTTTAAGAGCTTTTAGATTTACGGCCCAGTTTTCTATAAACTACGTCTGAGACCATCTACAGATTTCTAAATTTAAGGTTAAGTAAAATTTAAGATATCGCTTCCATAGAATTATGTGAAATTATTCCGTAGAAATATACGTGGATATTCTACAGACATTTCTGCAGAGATTCTATGAAATATTTTACAGATTCTAAAGACACCAACCAAAGCTTAAATTACACTGCAACCTGACACAGGTTCTTCCTAATTTTTCAGATAAATTGCAATTCTAGCGGGAATGCACCGGAGCCCTAAATAGGAGGGCTCACTCCCTATTTTATGTAACTGTGTAAGAATAAGTTTTACTAACGTTTATTTTATTTTAAATCTTTACTATTACTTCTTATTTTCTACTTCCGGCCAGAATTAAAAGCTTTAACTTATTTATGCAAATTTGTCTTGCTAACGCCAAGTAGTTAAGTTGTGGCTTTTTGCCAAGCAAGAGAGAGGAAGGAGTTATTAGAAGCAGGCCGCTGGCCATAGTAGTTTTACTCGGTTGCTGGTTGCCTTCAAGGCCAGAGGTTTAATCCTCTTGATAATTTTAAACGTATCGTAGTTTTAGCAGCTCTCTGTACTACATACGGATTTTGTTAAATAACGGCCAATCTTGAAGTTAGGCACTTGTCTATTAATCCAAAGTTAGTTTTAGTTAGAGTTCTAGTTAGTAGTTTTATATTCTTACGTTCAGGCCACAAGTGGTCGGTCTCTGTATTCCGAAGTTCCGGAAATCTCTGTAAAGATAGAAAAATAAAGGGTTTCGTATACCCTTCCTGTGTATATTGTCTACTTCACAATTTATTGAACATAGCTCGAGTAAGCTCCCTATTCCGAGTCAGGACAGTTCATGTTTCCAAAGCAAGTAAAGAGGAACACAAGTCCTGATAACTGAACCACAATTTCAGCAGAAAATTCTTTTTGATCTCGAAAATTTTATTTTAACAGCAAAATTAAATTAAACATAGATTGTGATTTCTGAATACATGCCTCTCTTTTTCCTAAAAAACCAATCTTTAGACAGAGGTTGAGACTTTTAACGGGGAAAAAAAAAAGATTCCATATGTCAAACGTTTATTCTCTAGGAACTGCAATGAATTTATGACAGACGTTAAATTTTTCTTTCCAACGCTAGTATGTTCAGTGGACAAAGCACCTGCAAACGGTTTGGAACGACTGAACCAAATACGGAAAAAATGAAAAATTATTATTTGTTACTTTAATCTCAGCTAACCAACAGTTTCGGAAGAAATGTTTTTCCGCTGTCTCATTCCGATTGACAGTATATAGCTAAAGTAAGTAGGTGGATGTGGTCAGAAAATGCTTGATGTTTCACGCTTTGTTTCCATATCTACGAAGCCACTGTTAAAATTTTCTCCATATTCTGGCACTGTTTATAGCACTTTCTTTAATCTCATTAGTGACGCTTTATCAGTTTTAGATTTTTTATTGGGGCACTGGAAAATAATTAGCTTTGTTCCTACCATTCCTTGAAGAAGTATATAATTACTGTATATTCAGGCTTAAATTCAATACGAGCCCTAGTGAGCTCTTTATTAGTTCCGTATCTGTATCAATCTTGCTTTTTAAGCAAGAAGAAAGAAGATGAGTCCTTCTCAGGGATTCGAACCCGTACTCTTCGGCACGGCAGTCAGCAACGCTAACCACTATACCGGTTGAGTGGCCTTTACTAGTTTACGAGTGAAATTGTAATTCCAGCTAGAGCCCTAAATAAGACCAGATCCAGTATTCTATTTTATTACTTAACTATATAACATTCATTTACTAACATATTAAATTTTTATTTATTATGTTTTATTGAAATTTAATTTAAATTATTTTACTACTACTATTATTGTTTATTGTAGTTTCTTTCCTGACGATCTTCTACAGGGCTTTAGCACTTTTAACTTCAGAAATTAAGCTCTGGTCCTATACATAGAATCTCACATAATGTGTATAGAATCAAATAATAGAATTCCATTGAAAATATCTGATTAAGTTTATGAACTGGTTTGTAATTTTAAATCATTCTAAACATGTCTAACTTCTTTATTCTTGTACAAAACATCCAGTAGAAGTTTTTGAGTGTTTAAAAACATTGTAAAATTGACACAGTTTTCTTTTGAGGTTGAAAAAAATATACGTTTTGAAATGGTTTTTGATTTGGAGGATCGTAAAATGTTTCGGAGCAGGAGCGATTTGTGTTAAAAACTTTAATATCAATTTGAATAAAAAGCTATTTAAAAAAATAAGTGCATTTCAAATAACAGTTAACTTTATTTAATTTAAAAAGGCCATTTATCTTGGTCAAAGGTATACAATAACTAAATTTATAATTTCAAGAAATACATTTTTTAAATTAGCTATATAAATTTAATCTTTTAACTAATTTTACTATTTAAATTGATTTTAGTCTTTTACAAGATTTGATTATTGTGTTATATAAGCAATACTGTAGAAAAAAATTACGCAATATATTATACAAATTTAGAAGCTAAAGAACGTAAATTAGAGCAGGTAAGGAGAAAAATTTATATTATAAAAACCTACTCAACACTTATGAATAAAAAGCGTTTTTCCCCGTTGCTCTTTTATATCGCATACAATACGCCAGAAAAAAAAATGCACTTTGATTATAGTCTGAAAAACCTCACAGATTTCTACAGAATACCGTTGTATAAAGGCTTTATTAATTTTGCAAAGCAAGCTTTTCACATAATCCTGCCCGTAAAACTTCTATAAAACGCACATTAAAAAGAAAAACACACGCACAGACACATAAAAAAAAAAAAAAAAAAAAAAAAAAAAAAAAAAAAAGGTATTCGTAAGCTAACAGCAGTGCTATCAGATGATATTATAGTATTTAGGAGTTGCTTTATCCACAAACAGTACATAACTTTATTGCGTATTATTCGGAATATGTAACTATTATTTAATTATCTGCTTAAAGCAAATTACTGAATCTAAAAAAATAAATTTAATCTTTAATTATCTATTTCACATTCACTCCTATCGAAGCACATAGGAGTAATGTAAACAAAAAGAACAGAAAGTGCATCGTGTAGAGAAGCAAAAACATAAACAGGAACAGAAAGCAACAGAATAAGATGTGTGTCTTATAAAGGACTGACATTTGTTTTCCGAAACTGAAATATTTATTCAAGTTTCGGTTATTATTATTTCGATATTTTATTTTTAAAATTTGTATCATATACCTTGTATTAATTATTGAAACATAAACTCGGACCGTTGTTCTAATATATATATATTTTCTCTATTTTAGACATGCTTGTTACAAAATAAATATCATCAAAATATTCCTTATAATAAAATAATTTATTAAAAATATATTATTCGGTAACTCACACAATAATTCGGACACTCTAAACTCCTGTAGAGATATTTTAACAGATGAAATTTCTTGTCATAATTTTTTAATTAAATGAAAATACATCTCAAGAATAATTATATGCTTTAGGAAATTATTACTTATTTACAAAACATATTAGAAGTTCCTTATATGAAGTGAACATGCAAGGAGGCTACAAATTAACACCAAGTTCCATTAGCAGTTTAACTATTCATCATTTTTAATGTGGTCAAATTATTCGAATATCTAAATAATCCTTGGTGTAAAGCGTTCAACTATTTTTGATGTTATAAAACTATGAAAATTGCGTGAAACTGTTGGTACTTAAGTCGTACTTAAGTAAAAATGTACTTAAGTCTGGACCACATTCCTAGCTAATACGAAAGAGTCTAAGATTTATCCTACGAAAAATCAATTAAAACCCAGATATTAATGTTGTCAAACTTACAGCAAATTTAGAAGAACTGTTTGCAGTAAAAGTTAACCCTGAAACTATTCGAAGAATGCTTATAACTCATACATACAATGAACAATCAGTAAGGAAACTCTTAATCAATAAAGAAACAAGATAAATATGTTCAGCATTCGCAAAATCTAAGATAAGCAAAGATTTCTTTTCCTGCGATGTCTTGACAGCTCTGGGCGGACCCTGGTCTTCTCCAGGCATCTCTACGTTTGGCAACTGTTTTCCAATTTTTATCCTTTAAAATATTAGGATCATTTTCGACACAATCAATCCATCTTAGCGGGGGTCTGCACAGAGGTCGATTTCCCATGGGCTTCGCTAGAAAAATTTTCTTGCAGAAAAAGATCTTCATTCATTCTAGCCAGAGGGCTAGCCCATTTAAGTCTCGGTGATCAGATTGTTTGTAAATTTTTAGAGTTCTGAATTAGATCTTCTTCTCCATGAACCATTCGCTTGGACCCCACCAAGAATGCAATGTAAGATCTTTCGCTCAAAAATTCCCAGAGCTTCCTCATCACGTAATCACAATGCCCAAGTCTCTGATGCATAAGTCAAGACAGATCTTATAAGACTTTTGTAAAGAAGCAATTCAGTACTTAATTTAAGAAAGCTGGATTTTAAATAACGCTTCAGGGCATAAAAACATCTATTTGGATC